GTGCCATCTGATAGAAAGGCAGGTTCTTACAGACATTATGGTGTGTCTTCCTCCACCTCACGCACCAGATCTGGCACCATGCAACGTCAAAATGTCCTTGAAAGGTAAACATTTTGAATATGTTCAGGACATTGAGAAAGCACAGCAGAGCAAGTAAAGACACAAAAGAGGACTTCCAGAAGTGCTTCAGAAAGTGACAAGAAAAGTGGAGTGTGTTTAAAGCAAAAGGGAGTCTTTGAGGGAGTCCATGGCAATGTGTCTTTTACTGTAGTGATTTTTTTAAAAATTTAAGCATTTATATATTTTTTTCAATCACACCACATAGGCCAGGGATATAGCTCAGCAGAACAAGTGCCCGCCTGGCAAATGCAAGGTCCAGAGTTCGATTCCCGGTACAAAAAAAAAAACAAAAAACAAAAAACAAAAACACATAAAAATCACACCACATATTTCTGGCCTTCAGATTGGGACTATAAGGAAGGTGTTCCCACAGTGAGGAGGACAGGCTGTGTCATGCTGAGTCCAGTCACTGTCCTTTTTCACCTAGACCACAAGACCCTGCTTGAACTGGCTCTTGCCTGCTTCTCCAGGCCTTCTCCTATCACGTGGCTCCAGGCAGCACTGGCTCCATCATATCTTCCATCTTTCTCCCTCAGGGCTTTGCCCAAGACACTATGCACTTAGGACCTCCCTACCTTTTTTCCTTAATTCTTACTAAAATTTTAGCTCTTAGCTTTAATGTCATTTATTCCTCAGGGAAATTTTCCCTGAACCCTAGAATAGGTCAAGCACTACTTTTATACATGCTCATGTCTCCCTATCCTTCTTCCTGGTGCTTATTTTAATTGTAAATATAAACTAATTGGCATAATTATTTGCTTAAAGTCTGTTTTTTTTTTGCTACTCTCTAAGCACCATGGCAGCCAGGAACATCCAGGAACCTGGTACAATGCTTAAAAAAAATCTTTCAGCTGGGCGTGGTGGTGCATGCCTGTAATCCCAGCACACGGGAAGCTGAAGCAGGAAGATCGTTGAGTTTGAGGTTAGCCTGGGCTACAAAGTGAGCTCAAGGCCAACCTGAACCGCATAGCGAGACCCTGTCTCAAAAAGACAAAAACAAGTATGTTTTGATGAACAAACATCCCTCCCAACTATAAAGCTCCGCTCCCTTCCCCCTCCAGCCTAACTCGAGAAGCAAACAAGCAGTTAGACTGAACCCTTCCCCCTCTCTTAGGGCTGGCTGATGTCGAAAGAGAACTGGCTCCGGGTGAAAGGGGAGCTGAGTAAAAGACAAAGGTCTTTATCATATCTGTAGCCAGCAAGGACCCTCCCCTACATTCCTAACTGGTGGCCCCTGGCTTGGGAGCCTACAGCAATCCTCCTGGTCTTCAGGTTCCCTTTCCACCGCTTCAGTTACCCTTAGGCACTAGCAGTCTGAAAACCTTAATGGAAAATTCCAGAGATGAACAACTACAGTACTGCGTTTTAAACTGCCATTCTGAGAGGCGTGATGAAATCTCAAGCTATCCTGGTTCATCTCAAAATGCCCAGGATGTAAATTACTGCTTTGTCCAACTTATCCATGCTGGATGTGCCACTCACCCTGTAGCAGTTGGGGGCGGGTGTGTCACATAACTTATAAAACCATACTATTATGTATTAACCTGTTGTAGTGCTTAATGCATAATGAAACTTTATCACAAGTATGTATGTAAAGGAAAAAGCGTAGTATGACAAGGTTCTGTTTCAGGCATCTACGGGGGTTTGTGGAACACTTGCCCTGCAAATAAGAGAGGATTACTGCACTGATAAACTAATGGCAGGTAGCCATGGAATCAGTAATAAGATTTTTTTTTTTTTTTTCTTTTTGAGACAGGGTCTCGCTATGCAGTTGAGGCGGGCCTTGTAATTAAAATATTCATTAAAGCTTAGCAAATAGTTTAACTATTAAGTGGTAAAATATGATGTAATGAATAAAGTATTTGGTTTATACACAAGGTGTTAGGAGATAATTAAGGTATTAGTACATAATCAAATATTAACTACTTAAGTGTTAGCTGATAAGCAAGGGATTAATGTAAAACCAGGGTGTTAGCAGATACTGGTTAACCAATGAGTAAGATGATAGCTGATAAGAAATTAAAGTGAAGCTGGAGCCGGCCGTGGTGGAGCATGCCTGTAACCCCAGCACTCTGGAGGCTGAGGCAGGAGGATTGCTATGAGTTTGAGACCAGCCTGGGCTACAAAGTGAGCTCAAGGCCAGCCTGAACTGTATTGCCAGACCTTGTCTCAAAAAGACAAAAAATAAATGAACAAATAAATAAAGTGAAGCTGGGCATGGTGGGGCATGCCTGTAATCCAGCACTCGAGAGACTGAAGCAGGAGTATGGCTCTGAGTTCAAGGCCATAGTGAGTAGAGGCCAGCCTGCATTACAGTGTAAGACCCTGTCTCAAAAAAAAAAAAAAAGAAAGAAATTAAAGTGACTTTTTTTTATAGGAGGCTCTTGCACATGTTAGAGGGGACCTGGAACCACCAGAAAGCTGGGAAACTCTATAGGAACGTAGGTCTGACTGGAAGCATAAAATCCTCAGCTGGACTCTAAGTTTCTGGGGAAGCGGTTCGCTCCTCCGTGGTTTCCAGATAGAGTCTAGTCAGGGGCAGGCATGGAGCTGGTGCTTGAAATGCTTACCACTTAATCCAGTTTAATCTGCTCAGGGCCAGGCACTGCAGACAGGAAGGGGAGGGAGGTTGCTTCAGCAGTGAGAAGAGTGTGGTGCATGAGGGCAAACGGTGTGTAAGAGAGAAGCGCAAAGGGTGCGAAGGCCGAGTGAAGGGGCAGCAGGTGTGTCTCTGGACTGCTGAGGTGTTTGTAGAGATGCCCACTAGGAAGGTGGATACAAGGCACAGATACATGGTAAGAGACTTGGGTGTCATCTGGGGATAGATGATGGTGAAAACCATGAGAAAGAAATGAGGTGGCTACAGAAAAGTACATGGAGTAGGGAAAGGGATCAGCTTAGAACCCCAAAGAAGACCAACAGGGAAGGGCTGGGGAGAAGAGGAAAGAGACGCGTTCCAACTCAGAAGGAGTGCGCACTCAGGGAGTTGGGGCAAACGGAGAGGAGATCGTGGGAAGAAAGCGAAGGGAAGAGAGTGTCTCAAGGAGAACAGTGTGGTCAGCAATACCAGACGTGCGTGACAGGGTGAGTAGGATAAGGTCAGAGGTGTCCACCGGACTCAACAACAGGGGCTAAGTGATGGCCTTGTGAGTAGAAAGAAGTAAGGCAGAAATGTGACTGGCGGAGGCAATGGGTACACACAGAAGGGAGCTGGGGGAACACGGTTCTGAGACACTCATCATGAAGATTCCTGATGTCTGGGCTGCTCATATGAGTGTGTAACGTGTGTGCACAGGCAGCATGAGCACATGCAGAGGCGGAGCCTGGAGTAGTGTACAAGGACAGGGCAGAGGCCACCACTGCAAGGGCTGCGGTTGGCCCACAGGCTTCACTTTACCCTGGCAGCATTTGACAAGGACCAGGGAGACTGTACGAACTCTGTGTAGTTCACCCTTTCCTTGTCAGTGGGAAAATGGGGAACAACAGAGATGGAACAATTTGTTCTGTCTGTGGGTCAGGGACACTAGGAACTCAAATCTGAGTCTCCAGATTTCTCAGAAGAGTCTGCTCTTGGAGGGGGAATGACTGATCAGTGACTTTGTCCACCACCTCAGTATTTGGCTGCCTCTTTACATGAGTTTAGATAGATAGATAGATAGATAGATAGATAGATAGATAGATTTAAATGTATATTTTATGTACAAAATCTAAACTTTAAAGAAACACTGTAATAAAGAAAATGGGTCCTGTTACCATCATTAATATTTTGGTCTACGTTCTTCCCTTTTCACTTAACATTGTAAGTTTCTTTTGTTTGTTTTGTTTTTGTCTTTTTGAGATAGGGTCTTGCTATGCAGTTCAGGCTGGCCTTGAGCTCACTTTGTAGCCCAGGCTGGTCTCGAACTCGCAATGATCTTCCTGCCTCAGCCTCCCAAGTGCTGGGATTACAGGTGTGCACCACCATGCCCGGCAACATTTTAAGTTTTTAATAAAAATATATTTTTCATACTCTTTCTTTGTGAGTGTGTATGTGTTCATTCTGTTTTACAACATGCTCTTTTTTACAGTTTGGACAGCTTCCTAGAGTAACACACACAAATCTCTCATTCATTTTAGTAATGGTATTAATTTATCATTTGGATTGTCCTATATTACCAGAACCACACTGATAGATATATGGGTCACATCCAAATTTCCACTCTTATGGAAAGTACTTACTGTTCATATGTACATATATAGTTTGGGAGTATTCTAAAGGGGAAATGCTGGATCAAAGGGTTTGAACATTTTGTTTTGAAAGGTATCAAATCACCTTCTAAACACTTGTTCTGGTTTATTGTCCTATAAATGTTTATGTGAATGTCCGTCTCCCCACATCCTTATCAATAATGGGTGTTAGCATTTAAAACTCTTTCCAACTTAAAAAAGGCTGAACATCTTTTCATATCCTACTGGCCACCTGTATTTTTCTGTGAATTACCTATTTACATCCTTTGATTAGTTTCCATTGTAGTATACTTTTGGTCAGTAAAGAATAATAATGATTGGTTTAATTAAAAAAAATAAAGGCCTGGAAGCCTTGTACCAAATTGCTGACAGTTTACCCCTAGGGGTTGAGACTGTAGAAAAGGAGGGGCAGCCTTTCACTTCTATATTACTGGAGCTTTTACAAGAAACTTGTATCATTTTTTTTCTTTACAGTACTAGGGATCAAATTCAGAGCCTCACAACTCTTGACATTCTTGAAAAGTGCCCTACCACTGAGGTGCAGCCCCAGTGCAGGAAGTTGCATCTTTGGTAATTAAAAAAATAACACCCAGAGGGAAACCACAACCAGAAATAAATACTTGGCATAGGTTTCCACTGGCTGACAATCAACGTTAGGTGCAAGTTTTTATTGATCACAAGTTATCTTTTGGTTTATATGCAAAAAAATATTTATTGAACACCTTTATTCAGCTACCACTGCCTACACAGTTTCATAGGCGTTTCATCTTAATCCTCACAACAGCCTGTGAGGCAGGAATTGGCCCCATTTGACAGAGCCCTGGCGGGCAGGAGATTGTTGCTTGATGTACTTCTACTTGCCACATATTTCATTGGCTAAAGGTTCTTACTGGCAACGTGGTTCTTTGGCTAGAGGTTCTTACTGGCTGGTGATTCACTGTTAAGGGCTCTCATTGGCCAGAGTGCCTATTAGTTTCTCTTTGATTCAAATAGCCAGAATTTTAGATTTATTTTTCCCCCTGTAAGAGTGACAGGATAGGTGGGGTAAGAGCAAAGGGAAGAGACTTAGTGGGTTTTTCCCTCTGAAGCACCATTTGAGTTTGCTTAGTCAGCTGAACCCAGATAGATGGGATGGGCAGGGTGGGAGAAGAGGGAATGTGGTTATAAATCTTCTCGCTTCCGCAGGATAAGCTTCCTCACAAGTTCTACGATATGAGGCCTGATTTCCTCCAGTGCCACAGTTGGGTCCCAAGCCCCTACCACCTTTCCATCTGGGGCCACTAGGTACTTCCAGAAGTTCCAGGTGGGCTCCTTCCCAGAAGTCTCTAGAGAAAAAGGGAGAAGAACAACAAAGTGGAATTCGCATACGCACTCCTGCCTTTCCACAGCAGTGTAATCCTGATGCCTGCTGTAGACTCCAGACCATGAAAGTCACTGAGGATATGATTCAGCCTTTACTGTAGTATTCTTCAGAGGTTCTCTGGGAGATTGTGACGTGGGGTCAAGGTTGAGAATGAACACTTTCCCAGTACCAAAATAAATAAATAAACATTTTGGATTCTGTGATAAAGCAGCATGAAATCTTCCTTTATTAATGTCTTAAATTACTGAACAGACTACACTATACTCTCTAATTAAATCTTAATGGTTTCCAGTATTAGTCCACGGACAGACTGAATCAGAATCATGGGAGAGGAGGGGAGCTCGTAAGGATATTCTCGAGCCCTGTTTCAGTAGGCCTCAGGTTCGTGCAATTTTAAGATCTTGCCAAGTGCTTTGGAAGCAAGGCCAGATCTGACATATAGCTATGGGTGCTGGGCAAGAACTAACAAAATCACACAGGAAAAAAGGCAGACATCGGGACTGATCCAAGAGTGAAATGCAGAGCTGGGTATGGTGGTGCACGCCCCCGCCCTCTCCACTTTTATTTCAAAGATTCGCTGCGACTTCACCACTTGGGAGGCTGAGGCAGGAGGCGAGTTCAAGGCCAGCCTGAGCTACAAAGGGAGTTCAAGACCAGCCTGAACTGCATAGCAAGACCCTGTCTCAAAAAAAAAGAGTGAAATGAAAACCTGCCTTGGTAAGGTTTGCTGCTGTTTTTCACTCTACCGGGTGGTGGCTTGTGGGGCAAAGCAGTAGGGAGGGATACAAAGGCAACCAGAAACAAGTCCCCAGAGGAGGAAAAGGGCCTGAGGAAGGACAGAGGGTCATAGTATAAGCTTGGTCCATGACCCCATTTTGTGGCTCTGAGGCTTCTGAGACCGCTTCTGAACCAGTAAGATCTGCGATTTTAGCTCAGGTTTCCCTCCCATGGCCTACAGATTTTGCCTCTGACACAAGACAGGAGATGCCTGTCAGCCACCTGGATCAACCTACTGCAAACATGTGGTGTCCCTCTGATAGAGGGAAACCATAATTCCTAACTTTTGGAAAGGGACAGGAAGGGACAGAAGGATGGGTCCAGATGTTCTGGTCACTCACCTAGGCGTGTGATGCCTATCTGGACTTATTGGACGGGGTGGTCCTAATTATGGTAGAATCTCAAATTGCTGTTAATCTCTTAGGGAGGCATGCAGGCCTAGCCACTGTGTCTCCATCTTAAGGCTTGGCCTTTTTTCAGATGCACCACCAGCCATAATTTTGATGTCCTTTTTTTTGGCACCAGGAATTGAACTCAGGACCTTGTGCTTGCCAGGCAGGCACCTGTGCCGATGAGCTACATCCCCAGCCCGATGTCTTTATTTTTTTTGTGCTGACCTCCTTGAGGGCCCAATCTCAATCCCTGACACGTACTAATATCTACCTAATTTAGCTGTCTATAATACCCTGCCTGCACCTTGGCGTCTCCCTTGGAAGTCCATAAGCTCAAGTAAGCTATACTGACTAAAACGCAAGGACCCAAGGTCCTTCCAGGCGCCAAGGCCCCAGAGAAGTCCTCAGGATTGACTCCAAGGAAGAACTTTGAGGCAGCAGGTGTGGAGATATTCTTAGGAAAGAATCCCCCTCAGCTCGGGCTGCGCCCATCCTCCCCTAAAATTAGTGCTGGAATGAAACATCAACCCACCTGAGGGGGTCTGGGAAAGGGCCTCCAGACACCCAGCCTTTGGCTTCTTCTGTGCAGGGAAAAACAACTTCTGCCCAGGAAGCCACAGCCTCAGTCAGTGGAGGGAAGCTGGGAGGAGGACACAAGGGGACTTACCAGTCAGGTACTTGAAGGCAGGGTGGGCACCAGTGCCGGTGACCGCAACCTTGCTGAACATGGGGAAAGAAACACTGTAGGTGCGGCGGGCAAAGCTCTCAATCTCCCTGTTGCTGTCTGGCTCCTGGTGGCCAAACTGGTTGCAGGGGAAGGCAAGCACATTGAAATGGTGGGGACCCAAGTCCTTCTGTAGCTGCTGCAGGGCTCGGTAGTTCTGGTCTGTGAAGCCGCACTCGCTAGCCACGTTCACTACCAGGGACACCTGGATGGAAAACACAAAACCAATGAGCCCAGACACATACGCAACCTGAGAAATGGCACACAGCGCTACATGCCCCAATGTGCCCACATACGTAGCTCCCCCAATAATCAATGATCCCTCACATATACAAGAATACATGTACACGTGTAAATGTGTGTGCAATGCTCTCACATATCTGCAAGCACATGCACACAGGTATATGAAATCAAGCATGCAGGGGCTTAGAGATGTGTGCACATATACATGAACATCTGTAAATATAAGCACAATACATACAAATGCATATGCACATGTTCCATGATACAAACGCGAACTAAGAGCACACACATTCTCACAAACACACATCCTCTCACAGAGGCACACACTGGGAAACACATATGGGGAGGGGACGCGGGAGATCGGAAAGGCAACCTGGATTCAGTTATGGTCTCAGTCAGTTAGCACTCATGCCTCCGTAGTTGCCTGCGTGTTTTGGTGTCCCTTCTAGGACTGGAACCTACTGAGGGCGGGAGCTATGTCCATGTCATCTCTGGTCCTGGCATATGGAAAAATCTCAGTAAGTGTAAGAGTTTGCTGAATGAGTAATTTTGCACAAATATGCCAACACCTGCACGGGTGGACAGATAGAGATTTTTCTTGACAAAAGGACTCCGGGCCCCACAGCAGCCCCATTTTTGTCCCCTCCCCTCCAGCAAACACTATTTAGTTTGATCACTAGACTAATCCCTAACTTTATTAAAAGCTTAAGCAATAAATATAAAGTTGGCTGAGGGAAGTGGATTATAATACTGCAATTAGAATGTTGGCACCAATGCCATGTTGCTAGCTTTAGCTATATATTATTAAAGGCTTAAAAACCCCACCCTGTGCCTCGGTAGCCCAGCCACATCTCCCCTGCCACTTCTTGAGAAGAGTAGGGATTGAACTAGCTGGCCCCAAAAAGAGGGTCCAATCCCTGGGGCATTGCACAGGCACAGCACAAACTGCTCAGGCTAGATAGGGTTCCTCAACCTCAACACTACTAATACTAGAGACCAGACAACTCTTTGTAGGGAGGGCCCCATCAGGTTCACTGGTTCATCGGTTCATTGGTTCATCGGTTCATTGGTTCATCGGTTCATCGGTTCATCGGTTCATTGGTTCATCGGTTCATCCTAGGATGTTTGGCAGGAGCACCTGGGGCCTCTACCCATTAGATGCCTATCTTGACGGTGGAAAATGTTTCCCAACACTGCCAAATGTTCCCTGGGGTGCAAGATCTTCAATGAGAGCCAGAGCCACTGGGCTAAATGACTGAGTCACTGAGCTATAACTCCTCCCCTGCTGCCTCCAAAGGAGGAAGGACTCCCTCCCTGGGGCCATAAGCTGTCAGAACAACCTCCCCCGTCTGTGGTCAGTAAGTGTAGATTCTGCCTAGGGTGGTGAGACACTGGGATTTTTAACTCCCCGCCCACCTTTTTCCCTGGGGGAATGATGGCTTTAAAGGTTGCTTATTTTTAACTTACATTAAGTGTCTCTGCCTACTCTTTTGGAAGGTTGGAAATCTTGATTCCAATTCCATCACTGACACCAAAAGGCCTGGCTCTTAGAGGCCAAGGGCCCAATTTATGTATGTCCATATACATAAATAAGCATAAGCATTTATGTATGTCCATATACTAGCTGAGTACACAGTAGCAACCCCCTTACATACACACACACACACACACACACACACACATACTGCTCAAGTCTATAAGTACATAACCCCACACAGGGAGCAAGCAATCACATTCCCAAGTGGTCATGTTCCAGTCTTTCTCGTGGCTGTCACCAGGGCTGAACTCAGTAGCAGCAGGAGCCAGTGTGTGCTAATGATTGAATAAGCTCATTGCCTACCGGGCAGACACACCTTGGGTTAACTCAAAGCACCATTTACAGCTTCCCTGCAATAACTATTCCTTGTTTTCCCTCTAAATTTAGCAATTAAGTGCACGGATGTTGGAGTTGACTACTTGGGTTCAAATTCTCTCTACCTCTTAGTGACTGTAAAACCTTGTTATATTACTTTTTAGTGCTTATTGCTATTGGGAATTGTGTTGTTCATTTCTCAGTTCCTTGGTTATCGTCTCTCTCCTCCATATAAGCTAAACTCAAGTGGAAACTTATGTTTTGTTCACTGTATGCCCAAGGCCTGGCCTATTACTTAGGACACAGTAGTTGCTAAGTAATGCACAGTGAATAAATGCGTAGCAGAGCCGATCAGGTGCTAAACCTGGGGCTCTCTCTGGTGAGCAGAGTGAAGGGGAGGCCTAAATAAGAATGGAGTCTGCTCTTCCTAGATGTCCACCAAACACTGATACAGAGCACTCTACAGCTGTCATCTCATTTGAAACTTACATCATCCTGAGGTGGGATGAAGGCAGAGATTAGGGCAGCAGTGCCCTAGTATTATTGAGAATTTCGAGGCTTATACAATACTTTCATCACTAAAGACGGCCTTGCTCCCTGGAAAAGCACGCTGACAGCACTTTCAGGTGGCCTATCCAAATCTGGATGCTGGGCCCACGTGTCCACAGAGCTCCCCACTTTTCCACCTTAGGGTCCCAAGTTTATCTAGACAGGCAGATTTGGAGAGGTCTTAATTACACAGTGTTGCACATGGGCCTCTGGATGCAGTGTTCAAGGCCCCCTGGCTCCTCCTGACCCCTTCAGCCCTGGTAGCACCACTCTCAGCCTTGGACTCTGTATTCCTCAGTAAAACTTGCCCCCTGTCCTCTGCAGTCTGCTTCTGCAGCTTGATGTGGACGCTGCTCTGCCTGGAAGGGCCCTCTTCATCTCGCTGGAATCCACCCTTATTTCTTTTGGTACCAGGAATCGAACTCAGGACCCGCACTTGCCAGGCAGGCGCTTGTCCTGCTGAGCTGTATCCCGGCCCTCTCCACCCTTATTTCAAAGATTCGCTGCGACTCTCTTCCTCTCCGTAGCAGTCTAGGAGCTGAGATTCCCTCTCGGTAGGGTACCTCAGCCTGCACCGTCCCAGGGAGTCCGCTGAGAGCGGGCCATAGGGCCCACAGACGGAGTGGGTTCTGCTGCTTCCCGGCGCTTTGTGACCTTGTGCATATACCCACCCTCTCTGGGTCTCAGAGTTCTCTCTGAAAGAGGGCGCGCGTCAGGGTCCTGTGCATCTTGAACAGCGCCCCCCGCCCCGCACGTTGGGGACTCCACGTCAGCACTGCTTCGCTTCGGGGCTCGAAGCGGGCAGGCGCGGGC